TAAGGCGAATGATGATAAGCTTGGACTTCTAACGACGGAAGTCTCGCTTATAATACGGTTCAAGTAAATCCCTCATATTAAAAAGAAAGCGGAAGAGGTTCATCAAAAGAGGTTTATTTACGTCCTGGCGCTTCAAGTAGCGGTTTCAGGGGCTGGAGACTTATGCAAAGTCTTACTATACGGCGTGTGGGTTGCATGCGCGTAGATCGCCAATGACATTTGTGGATACCGAACGGACATTGTTTTGCCCGGGTCTGTACCACCCCTGTCCTCGTTGACCGTGACGACAATAATCCAGGGGGTCTCACACCTTGGCTGCCTCTTTTCAATCAGGCTCGCAAGGCCAGATAGCGCGGGGACAAGATGATGTGACGGCTGACTGGACGATCGGTTGATATTAAGGCTGCTTGTACCTAACCTGACTTGTAATCATTACCTCGTCCCGTAACCACAATGTACAAATTAAAGACATAACTCATCTGATTGATGCAGTTTACTACCTCCGAACAGCCAGCTGATATTCCCGCAGCCTCTTTCGCAGGTCTCAGGCGATCTATCCTACGTAGTTGCCCTCTCTGCAGCTGCACAGCAGTCACTAGACAAAGGCTGACCTCATCCAGCCGCATCGTCTGGCGACGACTCATAATTCGTGTGACGCAGTGGACTCAGCCATGATGGTATGGGCTTGGTCACGGTCTTAATTTCGATTCCTCTGGGATCCTTGGCTTCTCTCAAAAAGTATGCATTTGTCCTAAATCTTTAGTTCTCGGAGACGCTTAATCTTATCGGTTTAGCAGCTGGGGTAATGTACCGGGCCTCCACTCGCCGGTATATTGTGCACGTAGAGGCACCTTTGTGTTACAGCGGGCGATTGTTGTTACATTTGTTATGTGACGCATCACCAATAACTACTGCCAGACTCCGATCTAGCCCCGCGTTGGTCCAACACATCTACCATGCCACCATCCGTTCCCTTTTACTGGTGTTACGTAAGATTCTGGTCTGTATTTTGTGGAGCAGGGGGGCTGGTGGCACGCCTAGATGCGGGTTTACGCCGTGCCAGCCACCTGCGCGTTCTCTCGCCTCCGGTCATAACACCGGGTCCAGGTGAAGGTGTGATAGATGCTTCGTAAATCTACTATCGCTACAAACTAACTCACGCGCAAGTCACCAGCCCTGCTCTCATCCTACTGTGGAGCACACGGTCGGCATTGTCCATCACGACGGCCGGACTGCCGTAATCGTTAATTGCTGTTATAATTCGATATTTGCTATACAGTTTCCTGTATGTGGTTACTAGATGCCTGTCGGATCGACGGCAGGCAAGGATATGCAAGAACGAAAGCCGGTCCTCCATCTTGAATTGCGAATCCAGAATAACCAAACTAAGTTCCCCGTTTTGTAAATCATTCTTGACCTGATCACTGGCCACAAATTTATTGATAAAATATAGCGTCCGAAATGTGGGCCTGTAAGTCCAAGCAGCCGACCTTCGGAATTTTTTGGAACCGTCTCAGCAACCAGCCCGGAGACTAGTGAACCTACCGGGATGTGCTTGGTCTGCGGTTGCTTCGAGAGTGAGGAACGTCCCGACGCAGTATCTGAGGGTCACCATGAGGATCTGAGTTGTGGGCTAGCTGTCGTTCTCATCGTAGTTTCGGTGCATCAGACTACGGAGTATTTCGACTGCGAAGACTTGAGTATGGAAATGAGAAGGAAGGAACGCAACCATTCCCTTCATTAGTAAACTGCTTTCATTTTTCAGGGACTGCTCTGCTTACTTAAAAGCCCTCAAGTGGGTGTGCCTCGGACTGAGACGAGTGGTCGAAGGGGACACCTGGCTCCTGTATTTTTGAAAGGCCGTAGAATCGCGTCCGCGGGCTTCGTTAGGCCAATCTTCGATGGCTGTTCTCTTCCATTACTGGGGTCAGCACTTTGGGTATAACTGTAATCGGTGGCTTCAGTACGGTGGCATTGATAATCCTGTGAGATCATTTGTTTCCATACTATTACTTGTCGAGGATAATAGTGAACCGTTCCCGATCGGTAGGCAGAATGATCATATCGGTATTCACTTCCAGCACGCTTAAACTTATTCGATTTTCCACAGCAGCACATGGACTTCCCGATGTGACACGCAAGCGAGGTGGCTTGACATTGGAGGTTAGCTTTGCGCGACAGTCATTCGAAGGCAGCTACGAGGTCAACCGGGTCAGTGTTGGTTGTTAGGACCGTATCTACGTTAAAGGACCTTTGAAAACCCGTACACCGTTTTAGCGACAGGCTATGTGCTAGCGTTTGGCCGGCAGCTGTGAATGGATTGGGGGTATGATTCTTCACAGGAAGGGTATGCGATCAAATTCACCGACTCCCCTTTTACAGAGAATTCACACCCTATTTGCTCGAAAGTCAAGTGAGAATAGAAAAGTACACCAAAACCAGTTGGCAGACAGATGGGAAAGTCAGCAGTACAGTTATACTTGAGACGACAGTAACGGATACAGCATACACATGAACGTGTGTTTATGCATGCAGAGTTGTCTCTTCTGTATAAAAATTCCCCACATACGTAGAAAACGGAGCTCTGGTCGACCCATGTATAAATGCACAGACTAAATGGACGTACGCTTCAGCACAACGCAGTTGAGTAGCACTCAAAAAAGCTGGAGTGTGAGGAAGGAAAATGTATGGAAACAAGGACCAGGAGGAGTCGAAACGAAGAGGGCGAGAAAGACAAAACGCACCTGAACAGAAGCGAGGGCCAAAAGAAGACAAAGCGAGAACTCCCAAAAGGTGGGCAGAATTAAATGTAGACAGAAAATTGTAAAGACAGGGGCAAATCAAAACAAACAAAAAGTGACGAAATACAAAGATAAGTACCAAACAAAAGGTTCACCAGTGACCGAAAGGCAACTACCAGAGGGAGAGAAACCAAATCTCCAAACAAGGCATGACGTGACAAATATAAAGACAAAACAGCGAGTGCTACCTTCTCCCCTACACATTACTCCAGAGATAGGTGTAGGAGAGCTCTGGGGGTCCAAAAGGCGCGGGAGAAGCCACAGTAGGCGGATCGGGTCTGGGACGGAAGACACCGATTGTGTGTGTGCGTGTTTGTGTGCCAATGACAATATCCAAGGAACCATCACCGCCGTTGATAAAAAGCATCAAATCCACGAGACTTCATAAGGAGGAAGGGAGGGGTGTCTGTATGGGGCAGAAATCCACCTAATCCTATTGGATAACACTACTCCTCAGCATCAGATCCAATGGTGGCGTGATACTTGACTCGAGCAGAACTGTGCGCATGGTTTGATTGACAGTCATTGACATGGCAGCTTTGTGAATTCGGGTAGTGTTGAAACCGAAAGACGGGGAGAAGAGAGAAGTCCCAGTCTTACCGTCCGCGGTGCGAACAGTTTCATCGTGTGCTTGGCTGGTAGGGCCAAAGAAGTACTCCCACCATGTTAGCGGCTCGCATTCCTCCAGCTCCTTTGATGATCCCAGGATCCGAGACCTAGTCACTAGAGAGGGTGAGGAGAGAAGAAGGCATAAACACAAGACTAACAGCTTAGATGAGGAATCGACATGCGAAAACACAAATTGTCACCACTGTTCGCATAATAAGTACATAGGTAAATGACGGTATTAAAATGACGTCAAGAGTCAACAGATGTTCGGTTGCTGTCCACACTTTGAACACTTTATAAAGCCTATTCCGAAGAACAACAAACAAAGCACGCCCCCCGTCGAGTGATCTACGACAAAGTCAACGATGTTACAAACTAACGTACGTAGCAAACTTCATTGAATGGTCTATTAAGAAAAGCAGACAGGATTGCTACTATTAAAAGGCCTAGCGCGAGTTTTTAGAGTGCTGAGGAGTCTACTGCATATGTTTTGCCGTCTGTAAAAATAGAACGCTGTTACCAGACGAAGGTAGTTTTTTCCGAACCGGATGAGACTTAACTCGCCTTCGCTACAGACGTCAGCGTCGATATAAACAAAATGACGAGGAATGAATTCAATAATAAAAAAGTAGGTCGAACGGTCGATAAGGAATAAAAAAAAACAGGCGCGCACACCGAAGACCAGGCAAACAGTGTTAGCCTAACCGCTAAGGCGTATGTGCTCGACAACTCGCTTGCGTTCGTTTACACACGCAGAAATGCACTGATCTTTCTGCTTCCTTCTCATTGCGGATCCACGCTGCAACGATTGAGCGAGGAACGGAATCGATAACTACAGATTAAATTTGCTTTTCTTAAACAACAACTGACATGCAAAATAAACGCGGGCGGTTTACGTTAAAAAAGTGCTGAGGTGGTAGTGAATTGAGACACGCAGAATGCATGTAGGGGAGGGAGAGGATAAACATACCGGATTTTCCGTTGAATAATTCGGAGGAACTGTGAAAGTCCCGTTTAAGGAGTCCATGCCTCCAACGTTGGCGTTCGAGGGCGCGTAAACGACTCGCCCTGATACGACCCTTTGTCTCTGGGGAAAGACCTGAGGTTTCGCCATCGCCCAGCAAACCAGTCTTGCCGGACCAAGTATACCCAATCTACAAAAAATACGACAGTTTCACAAACTTACGACGAAATCGAGATCCCAAAAGGGAGAAGAGTGCCTTTGAAAGATAAAGTTAAATGGAAACCATACGGCGAAAATGTCCGACTGATAGGGCCCAAGGGTTGCCTTTTCATACTTAATCTCACTATGACAGCTGTTACTAGTTGGAAAGTGGCTTTCTGTTAGATTTTGCAGGACATTCATTTTAACGGTCAAAGAGAGGTGATAGAAAAACAAAAGGGTGAATCCGAAGGCATGAGGTTCTCCCAAATTTCCCGGCTGTTATTATTGGAATTCTCAGTGCACCTGGGCCATGCCACCGCGTGGTTGTTCTGGTCACTCCGCTAAATAAGAACGATATGAAATTTTTCGCAATCCAGAAGAGATAAATAATGCCCTTTCGTGCATTTCTTAACTTTCAAAGGGCTCAAGTAGAACAAAACTAACACAACCTTCCTTCTCACTGCATGCTATATTTACTGAAGGGGGTTTAAGTGTGATGTGGGCTAATAAAAACTTGCCTGGTGGAGAGAACCAAAGGTAGAAATATCTCCCAACGAACTGTCTGACGGAGATGAGTAGAAACGAAGACTACTTGCAGTTGAGGTAGAGTCTCCCGTGGGTTGCCCAGCGAAGAGGGCAGCAAAGGAAAGCAGAAACACCATTAGGCAAGTGGAGGTGGTTCCAGAGCGAGAACCGCTACCACTAGAAGCGTGGCTGTCAAATGCGGTTGAAGCAGAACGTTTGTTAGAATTTGACGAATTTCCGCCAGTGTTGTTGATAGTGTTGCCACTAGTACCGCCAGAGCTGCTACAGTTACTGAGTCCGCCGCTGCCGTTAGTGTTGGACTTATTCACAAGCTGTTGTAGGTGTCGTAATTGACTGAGGAGAGATCGATTGGTACCCTCAAGGCCATCGATGCGGCGCTTCAGTTCCGAATTCTCCTGTGCGTACACCTCAACCCTAGGACCCAGTAATGAGTACTATAATACTTGTTGGTATGAGTGTCAAAAGAGTACAAACAGATTATTAAAAAGGCTATCGTGACAAATCATGGTGCGGCTGTTAGCGCCATTAAATTGGATCTTGAGATAACAGACTAGCGGCCTACCAAACACAAGTCACTAATTAATTATTAGTAGTAGCACTGTCACCATCAATAATGATGCTATTGCTGCTACTACTGCAGAACAAACGAAGGTCAAGAGCGGCGTGTCCATCGTCAAGAAATCTCAGTGCCTAGATGACGCCAAATCCTAATGTGAAACTTCGGACGTTGTCAAATGTATAATAATAATAATGCAGGAGGTGCCAAAAAGAAATGAAACCGGTGACATACATCCACACAGCCGACAACTTGAGCGGTTGCGTCTATTTTGACCTTGAAGCCGATGTCATTTGGCAGCCTGACAATTTTCAGTCCTCTTATGTAAGTCAGCATCTGGCCGTTTGGCATATATTTATACCCGACCTTGGCTTCGGCGAATACACCTCCACGCAGTAGACGTGAACCGAGCACTCCATGTGCATAGTCGTCAACAAAGACCATGAGCTGATTAATTTACTGACAGATCAACCAGTTTACGAGATGTGTAGCGAGGCCTTGATGGACCGAAGATACGATCAGCGCGTCAAAACAGTGAACGGAAAATACCGATGTAGATTCCTTTGTCAACCTTCCGAATGAGTGATGTCACTACATTTGGCAGGGCGAGGATGTCACATTCTATTATAAGACAGCTTTGTAAGGATTTGCTGAGCGCAAGAGTTGCACCACGATAGCCAGATTTATTAGGTAGGAAACCAAGCCCCACGTCTCCTTACAAAGGCATCAGAGCTTTTACGTGAAGCCCGTTGGTGGGAAAGAAACCATGACCGCGGCTTTATACCAGATCAGACACTGTGCTCTATCTGATAGCTAATTTTTGGACCTCGTATTGACACTGGATCACGATGGGTAGAGGAGAAGGTTATCAGGCGAATAATTTGCAAGCCTAACCTATAATAAACTTCACACGTAAGGCGTCTTCGTCACTTTCGTCCCCTTGCCTCAATAACAAAAACAAAACTGACACTGCACTTTTTTTAATCCCGAGACGGCGGGATGCATATAACCCTCTCTTACGAGTGGCCCAGACGAATTTGGGTCTCTTGATCATTGCAAATCGGTCAGCATCAGTGAGATTCAGCAGTAGTCTGATTGGCTTGATAGTTCTATTTAAGGAAATACCGGTTTTCCCTCGCGGAGAGAGGGCTTGAAAGAGCGTCTTAAACGTTGCTTTCCACTGACAAAGGCTACCGAGAGGTCCGCTCACCGTCCAAACCAAATAAGCGCAAATAACCTCTCCTCCCACCTCCCATTTACTAACCCTTCCATCGGAACGACTTTGTTTAGTCCGGCGGTCGGAAATATCCGTTCTATTATAAACAATTTAATGATCAAATTATCGGGAAGGTGAACAAGTGTGATAACCCACAAGACCGAAAGGAAACGAGCCTAAATTCCCGGATTGAAATATCGTTCAGTCACATTTTAACGTGAGGATGCTGGATTCATTAAGAGGACAATGGCCGATTAATCCATCCTGCCCTGACGCTACAAAAATGGTTTCGACGGAGATAAGGTGTCTATCACATTCCCAGAGAGCACCCTAACACCAACTGGCACGGCGACATCGAAGACAATTTTTATGTTTCGGTCTCCGATAAAAATACACTTCAAATAACATGGATAACATACCAAATCCTGAAAAAATGACTGGTAAGGTATGCAGTAAAGTATGCAGCAATGCGCCTTGTCGGAAGCAGATACAATTGCGAGGACGCACACAAAAAGCAGAGGAATTGATGCCTGTGTCCGTGTGGGGTTGGGTGGGGTGGCCCCTATAACAGATTGCGCCGAAGATGGGCTGATCTGAGACGGGGACATATTGGCTCACGGCACGGGTTGCTATGGCTGTGCAGAGTATGCACAAACGCCTAGATGTAGGTTCCAAGCTGCGCCTGACACTACGCCCAGCCCCAGCACCTGATAACTGACAGCCTTAGGCGATGTACTGGTGTGTGGAAGAGGAGAGAGTGAGGTCAACACCGAGGAATCCATCCCCACGGCACATCAGCGCATTCCTCACTACAGTTACTCTGACGCTCCAAGAGTCCTGGCCTAGAAGGTTACTAAATAACGGGACAACTTGTTCCTTCCCAGGACTGAGAGCCATGCTGCAATGGCTTCTCAATGTGACCCTGACGGCACTCGCCCATATGAGATCCAGCCCACCCTTACAGAAGCCTAGTACAAGTGGTGCGAATAACGCCGCATGTGGCAGGCATAGACGGGCTGTTCGGTTTTGTCGGTCACTGCGCCCGCGCCCACATCCGGTTGTCTTGGCATTGCCTTGCCATCGGAGTAAGGTGAGCAAGGGAGAAGGGAGTGAAGTAGATGCCTCGATGAACTAATCCGCACGCAAGTCACCGTTACTGTGCTCACTCCGTGAGGCACACGGCGGATGTCATCACTTGCGACGGTCGAATTGTCGAGGCCTAGGGGACGTTCACTGAGAAGATAAACTATGCAGGATTGACGGATCCTTTTATGATCAGAGTGCAAGTGACGGTTGCTCCCCATGGTCCTTAACTGTTACCCAGCTCTCATCTGTGGCCCCTTAAAGATATGGTCTGATATGTGGCCGCACCCCGGTAACTGCTTCAACTATCTAGCTAAACTAGATGCAGGTGTTCGGTGTGTGTGTCCCCACATTCGGTTGTCATTTCCCCCGCCACACCCTGTCCCCAGGCACCAAAAAGACCTTCAGAGTGAAAGACCGCGATCCCGTAGGCGATCTGTGCTAATCCGGACCGTCTTTCCACTAGACAAAAGTCGTGACCTATAGTGGAATCCAGTGGACGCCTGGAATAACTAAACGGCATAATTTGGGTGTGACACTGATTAACCACTCGCAGGGGAAGGGGCTAGAAAAGATGCTCTGGAGTCAAATGCCGGACAATCACGACGTTCAGTTGGCTGTGGATAATGTGGTTTGTGCAATGATTTAATGATTTTTGGCAGAAATGGAAGCTCTAAACAACTATTAAAATAAAGGGCTGGGATTACTATTAGAACGAATATCGAGACAGAAACGGAGTTCCCAAAGTAAACGAGAGTTGCTCAGTTGTAGAATGAACAAACACTGATGGTCTCAGAGACGGCGAAACAAGAATGATTTCAAGGCTCATCACCCAAAACACTAGATAAGAAGTAGCTGAAGTCAATTTAAAACCCAGATGACCTCAGTTCGCGTGGGCGTGAATAGCTGGTATGAGCGAGAAAATATGAACTATATGCAACAGTTACCGAAAGATGTAGTTAGAAGCTCGTAACGGCTACAAACAAAGGCGGTAACAACGCTAGAATTGAGGCTCTGAGGCGAAGCGAAAGAAATGCAACTTTGTCGTTTCTACAGTACTCAATGAATGAACTTGGGAATAGGTTGCCAGAGCTAGACTTTCGTTTGAAATCCCTTGATATGACTGCTTTTCATCGGTTTTTATGAAAATTACTCAGTGAATTGTTCTAGCTACGGCTTTTTGGTCACATCGACTGAAGAAGGTGCGTTGTAAATTTTGAAAATTTTTGTAGGATAGGGTGCTTTTTCACCACCACCACCATCACAATTATCTCAGATATGTACGGACCTTTTTAAAAAAATGGAACTTTTAAATGGAATCCAGTGAGAATAAAGGTTTCGTTCCTGAAAAGCAGTGTGTCCTTATTCGGACGCGGATAAAGATGGCAGGCGTGGTGATGCGGTCTAGTGGCGGCTGACAGAAATCATGCACCAAAGGTCATCAGTAGACCAGACGCACTAACCCGCGATAAGTAAGCCTTTCTCGTGTGCTCAAACACACGACTGCACCTGATTCAGGGCGCGAAACCGCCCGAATGAGACTCCAACTCCGGGTTCAGATGCGTACACGCACACGCCAGGTTAGAGGAGCGTAGCAGAGAAGCGCTGGTGCGCACGTACGCTTTGTTGCTTAAAAGCGCAAATGGTTGATGCACATCGCACACCCACACAGGTATGCATATTGTGGAGGGTCTGGTAAAATCCGAGAGAGCAAGTGCGACAAAAAGGATGGCAGATCTGTTGATGCACTCATACACAACCACTAGAAACTAGTTCGCGGATTATCTGATTAGGGTAAACAAACCCAGCGCTGCACACAAACACGCACACCACACACGTTTCTGGTCCATGCACCCCAGTGCCGGCGCTGAAATACACAAACACCAAATGTGGAGTCGAGAAAACTACAGTCTAATCGGCGGTCTATACAGATGGACGAGATAGACTGGCAAGAGGCCGCTGCAAAACCGATTTCGGGCTGCCTTAAATTGAGATACGTATTATTTTGTGAATCCGCTGCAAAAGTGAAGACTTCGGGCAGGGACGATAATATTCATACGGAAGTCTAGGTCGAGTACTCTAGGCCTTGCAGGACTGCAAACTTTGTCAACGGCAAATAAATCAGACAGATATCTACCGATTCACTTATTTTCAAAACCGCTATTATGCAAGATTCCAGACACAGTCCATTTGAGTATTTAGCAGCCGCAGGGGGCTCAAGACATCGATGCGACACCTACTTGTCTAGATGCGCCTTACAGATTGGCATGGATGGGGACATCGGTCGGCTACTAATTAGTAACTATGTCGGGAGTGGGGTTGACTTTACAAGCTGTTATTACGCTTCACGATCTGGCCGGACTTTCATAAAACGGGCAACTACCTCCTCCACCCCCACCACCACCACCACCACCACCACGATCATAAACAAACTGAAAAAACAGTCGAATACACAAAATGGACTCTAACTGCAGAAGAACTGACATAATAGGAACTTTTATGTGTAGAACCCGAGGCAGTAAATGACTTCCCAAAATTTCCCTCCGAAAAAACAGGACAATAACCGGAGTCCGAGATGTCCTGGGGTTTCGACATCTAGGATTAGCACGCGTCACGCTTTGTTGCCTCTCAATGACCAAGCCAGCTTTCAACCATAGAGAGCTTCACATATAATGCCAACGCATAATCTCATCGAACAAACACTGCATACGACTGGGTCGAAACATATAGGCCTGCGAAACCGTATTCGCCACAGTACAGACCGGTTGCTGGAGCAGTGACCGAGAGAAAGTATAGTAGCTTCGATTAAATGGCGAATTACGCAAGTTGGCGACACTGTCGCTAGTGGAGGTCAGAGGTCTCGACAAACGGTATGCGAGATGGACAAAAAAAGTTTATGTTACTCCAACGGAGTACTTAGAACCCCGTGATTGCCAATATCTTCAGCTGGTTGGACACGCTTGATGCTGAAGATAAGCAAGTGCACCTTTCTGTTCTCAAAGACGGCCCGAGATTTCGTGAAGCACGCTCAGAAAAACGTCAAATGCTGGAGCGTCCATGAAAGCGAATACCGGTGATCTATGCATTAATTCGGAATAAGACGTCTCGATCGGCGTAAATCCTAAGTATGGATTCCATTTATCCAATGTTCCGGAGACCAAACCTTCTACTTCTTTGTGAAGCAGACGCTCGTCATTTTTCAGGATGCTGACAGCAAGGCTGTGCGGGGATGGCTTACAGTCGCAGTTGGAGGGAATCCCCGCAATACCACCTTTCCTCCTTTTAGCAAAGTCACTCGTAAATCACTTAGCACACCTCGGGGGTATTTCGGGTTGCATCACGACGAGAAGTCTGGCTCTAAGCTGACCAAGGTAATCCTGTCGCCACGGAAGAAAACATACTGTATAAGCAGGACTTCACTTAGAGATCAAATTACTACATGCATTGCCATTACGACACTACGGCGCACAACAGAGACAGAAATATAGTGCAGTCACTTTAATACAGTCAGTCGCTAAGGGGTTGGAGGCGACAGCTCAAGCGAACCGGGAGGAGACGGGGTCACTACGTTAGGCCGTTCATCTGAAAACGACGCTGAGGTTGTCTTCGGGTTGATTTTCCTCAAACAGCCAACTGTATATCAAACGGGGGCGACATAAAAAGCCTTTCCTTAACAAAATACGGAATTTGACCGTTATGCGTAGCCAGGAGTTAATCACAAGGCATACTTCTGCCGCTCAACAGGATTTACGACTGAAAAAAAACAACTACAGGCAAGATGAGTTTCATACTAATGCTATCGTATCGGAGTATTTACAAGATAAGTCAAAAGTACTCTTTTTTACCACCGAGAATTATAAGGCTCAAATAAATACGTTTTGAGCACCCGCGACATGCCGACAGTTTTCTGTCATACCGTGCGATAATGATGTAAAAGCAGTTCCTGTTGGATGGTGATCCTGAAGACGTACTAAAATTGGCAGCCGAGTGGCTGCCGCGCGCGTCGCCAGCTAATATTTTCAACGGTAGCCAGGCCACTCTCTGAAGATTTACTTATAGCAGAGTGACGCATAGAATCGGGCAAGGTTGACCAAAACGCTCCACAGGCAAGCATGACGACGCTTTTATCCGTCGTACACTAAAACGTACCACCACATGCCCCTTAAGACAATTCACGGGAAACATTAATCAATGTTTTCTCAGTGCACAATTAGAAAAAGAGTGAAAGAATTCGACCACCATCAACAAGACGCTACGGAAAAGCGATTTTTTAAGTAAAAAACTGATTAGAGAAAGTTCAGTTTATTTGTCGGACACCGTAATGTTTCAGGATAGTGCCCTTGTTCACCGTTTAAGGGTGTAAATCTGACATCGCTTAAGACTCATCTTATTTTTAGACCACAGCAAACCCCTCCGCCTGCGGCCTGAGATGCATTTTTATTCTCGATAACAGTCCGGACCTCAATCCGATCGAGAACCTCTTTGCATTAATCAAAAGAGATTGGTATGAAACAAGGAAACACTGCTCACACTGCAGGGAATGCTGAACTATGTGATCAATAATTTTATTGACCAGTCTGACAGTTAGATCGACGTTTCCGACAATGTCCACCGCAAGGTGGAGCAGGGACGGTGACTTGCGTGGATAAGTTTGTAGTGGATGTAGACTTTCGCTGCATCTACCGCACTCTCTCCTCATCTCCCACCTGCAGCCGGTGTCAAGACATGGTCAAGAAGACTGGAGGCGGAGGACGGCGTAGGTGGATAGCACGGTCGAGCCCGCACCTTGGCATTCCACTCCACACCCCCTGGTCCACACAGCAAATGACCAGGATTTTAACCAACAACAAAAGGGTGACTGGCACGGCCGGGGTCACACCTAAGCAGGCCGTACACCTGGCTCGGATCCCTCAAAATGGAAGTGCCATAAAGGCCACATTAAGAAGGAGCCATTGCAGCCTTTCTCTTAGATCACTAGCCGGCCGCCCCACACAAACCCACAACACTAGGCCGACTGCGATATCCAAGTTATCCCGTCAGTTGACAAACTTTCAGGCCACGGCTTTTAGCGCACCGTTATGGCTTCAAGCGCGTCAGATTGTTTATAGTGAGGAAAATGCGCTGTGTCGTCGACCTCACTTTCCCTTCCCCACTCCCAGGCTCCAGCCACTGTCCGAGCTGGTCAGTTGACTGGGGCGGGGAATGAGCGCGGTGGCTGACATAGTCTAGTGACCATGTCTGCGCGCGCCACATGCACGACCTGGCCCCTCAAACACAAGCACCAGAATTTCACACAACGCGGATTGAGCGGCGTACACCTCACATGCGTTAGAGTGCCTCAGGCCTCGTTAAGAAGGAGTCACTCCAGCCTGGCTCTCAGCCCACCAGTCCGCCACTTCGCACATACACACACATAACTGGGCAGACTGCGTGGACTGAGTTGGAACGTCAGTCAGCAGCCTTCCAGGTCACAGCACTTGACGCGCCGTGATCGAATCATAGATGCAGCAAAGAAGCTGCATACAGACGGAGCCGAGAGGCACAATTCCAACTTGCGTGGAAGGTGGCATTTGGATGCTTGTGGTAAGTGATGATGTTGTGTGATGTTCGTGGGGGAAAATGTGATGATGTGGTGTAGCCGCAGGTTTTCGTGAATGGCCATGTGACCTAATAGGCCCATGCGGTATGTGAATGACTAGTCTGCAATAGATAATTTGACAGCCTCTATATCTGCCCGACCTACGGCCGTCTCACGCGAAAAAGCGATAAAGAGAGTACTAATACGTTTTATTTTTTATTGTTTTTCCACTATTTTCTCGTTTTATTATATTTTTATTCTCTGTCGTTAGTTGGATTAGGCCTTAAATAATTGACCTGTCACAAAGTCACTTTTTGATTCGATGGTTTTCGATAAAATAAATGATGTCCCAGATAATAGATAATAATTAACAAGTCAAGCTATGCCTTCTTTTGAAGAACGGTCATTCCTTCACAGCACTATAACCCTCGTGGACGCGGGGTAGGCGGCTTGTGCGTTACAATGGTTCTGATAGGTCACAAACTGTAAGCCTACTACTGCTGCAGTCATAGTCTCATCACTCTCTGTTAGGCTCGTTCTTTTCCGTCCCGAAAACTGATTTTAACTAGTCGGCGGAAGTTTCCAGTATCTATAAGATAATGTATCCTCTTGTTATCTGTGTCCCACGATTAAGTCAGCTCTTCGGATATCGGGAAGTTAGGCCATCCATTGAACGCTCAAGCAACTCCCACTGGACAACAAACTTTTTCTAAAGTTTTCGTGATCAGATCAGGCTCTAGTTGTTTCCTGACTAACTCTAATATGTTCCGATGCCTGAGGCTTTATGCACGTCCGCAACATTTCATACAGAGGGCCCAGTCATTGAGGGACCTATTAAAGGTGGCCGGTCCCCTTTGGACGTAGGCCGCTTCGTCATCAGACGCCCTCCTTTCTACTTGTCTGTAGGCAGTGCGCGTGCAGCCCGGGAGATTTGCCCAACGCGGTCCACGGCAGAAGCACACGTGCATGCGCGCATGCAATGCACAGTCATGACGACAGACAGGAATCGAAGGCCGGCTGCAAGTACGCATCACAACCGGCGTGTGAAATTGCAGCCAATCAGCGCGGCGTGTTAACAGGGAGGCCGACACAAAAGCGAGAAAGCAGGTCAGCACCCACGATCGTTCGCGTGTGTCGAATTGCAGAACGGCTAATTCGGTGGGGCTGCATAGGCGGAGGCAGTAGGACGGAATAAAGTAGAAGTAGTGGACAACAGAAAATGTAGTAAGCATTCGCACAGGCGTTGGCGTTTCCTAATGACGGCTGCGACAATTATCCTTTACTATTTTGATGAATATGGGGTAGGAACATTTACCGCAAACTTAATAACCGTAGTATCAAACAAAACGATTCCCCTTAACATTGATAGAACTGAAGAGACAGAAGATGGATTCACGTCTTTACAACTCGCTTTTGGTATACGGTACCTAATTGGTACAACTCTATTTGACCAAGGAAGTTACCTTCATGCCTACTTCCGACCAATGAACAAACTCGTACAACCAAATACAGTCAGTGAATCAGCGTGGAACTCAGTTAGTTGTGTCTAAAGATTCATTCACTGAGACAAGGATCGACGCTTTATTGGCTGAAATGGTAAATAACCAAAATAAAGCACACCTGCCGTTATGTGTGGCACCCACATTAGTGTTCCAAACGAAGGTCGCATAGTGGCAAGCAACCAATAATCAAGTTAGGTTTAAGTAGATGGGTCCGGAAGTCAGGATTACAAGTTCTAAGTTTATGTACCGTCATCAACCAGGAGCACTCCAGAATAGGGTCTTGACGTCGGCTTAGCTAGCGGTGTTGTAAATTCGCCCCCGAAAGCCAGGCCAAAGACGCGGTAGCGTAGAGAGCGATAATGGTGGCACAGAGGTAACTCTATCCCTAGATCACGGAAGGCAAGCAAACGACCTGGCCAGCTTAGGGCAAAGACAGACGGTCTATCTCGGCTATATCGCTGTGGCAAAGGAAATAATAAAAAATACACAATTCTAGGCATTTTCCATATGATCGGCCTGAGAGGAAATGCAGAAAACAAGAAAAACGAAACTCCCAGCGGCATATCTGTGTGGGTTGGACCAAACTCGGCGGTGAACCAAGCAAAATTGAGGGAGGAAAGTGGCTGCAAGCTAGGGAGAAAAACAAACACTGTTGGTGCGATTTTTTCGAAATGCCCTCGGTCACTTTACAAAGCTGCTATCTACGGCAGAAAAAGCACGGGGATCACGGACTAATCAGCGAACGCTGGTCGTTGGAAAGTAGTCAGTGTGAAGTTTACACAGTTTAAGATTACATCCAATACTCCTGCTCACAGCTCTTACCAATTGCAATAATAACCCAAAGTATAGTTAGGAAGGCCTAGGAACCACAGTCCGCCAAGTTAGGCTTGCCTCTAAACAAAAGACGCCTACCGTTTTTCGAGGGTTTCTACGTACTCCTTCTTCTTGCGTCGGCTTTCTTGTGCACTGATCTTGTTCTTAATTTTCCGACGAATCTTCTTCAGATTTCGTTCTTCCTGTTTGGAGAGGGGTAATCGTGTCGGCACAGGATAGCCCTCAGCGATCAGGGTTCGTTTCTCTTCCTCCGTTAGCAAAAGCAGACCAGATTGCGCCATCTGATGGTTGAAAAAGAGCAGATATAAGAGTATCATCACCAGGAACCCAGATCTATGTTATAAATTCACTATCACTTCGGGCAGCCCGATGATGCTCTTCCACCCTTACAGGTAGTGTGGATGAACGAATAGTGAAAGATGCAATGGTATCATAGTAGAAACCGTAGTAGAAGCCGGTGGAAGATATGCATAATAATTGTACACTGTTAGCAATGTGCATATACCTAGTCTCCAAAGCAGCAACCTCTGTTCACGATAAGGAGGGAGAAGGAGCACTGACATAAAAAGCCGTGAAGAGGCTCACGGGAGAATTTACACTATCTGTGAAAAACTTCACCAGAAAAAGGCACAGAAGATGACGTTAAGGGAGAACCAAGTAAAGGTGTGTAATTAATTAGCTTGATGCAGGTGTGGGAAGAGCAGGCCCTGTGTGATGAGATAGAGACAATTTAAGGACGGAGGTAAAATAGTCAGAGCCCCACCTTTTATTCCTGACCTGAGAATAAAGCCAAACTTAACGAGCCTGTTGAATATCTTTAATAGTCACACTGGCACCCTCGTGTGCGTATGAGAAAGCATTCATGCAACGAAAAAAGGTCTGGTCACGCAAATTACTGCCTAGTTTCCGAGCCACGTAAGCATCTGTCACACAGGTAGCAGTAAAGTATGGGCGGAAAAGGGGGAACACCCGAAAGCAGACCCTGAAAGTGGACCGCCTGAATGAAAAGTATCAAATAGTATCTTACAAAGGAAGCGTATGACTCTTAAGGCAGTCTGCGCAGTGATCTAGAACCGACCAGAAAAGGCTAGCAGGGAATGGGGAGCAAAGTGAAAGTTCTGTCCATCCTCTTGATACGACAGTAGAAGGGAGTGCAGGTGTTCCGCTGAGTCTTGGAGTGTGGCTGTCTGATGAAGAAAGAAGTGTGTCACTTGAACGCACGCACGTTTTTTCTTTAATAAACACTGGGCATCAGTGTGGACTCATAATGCTCGTCATGGCCGTGTAACTGAGGAGCACCTAGTTCCTGTTTGCAGAGAGACTTTGTAGAACGCCCATCCATCCGCAAACGCCCTTCTCACAAAGACAAGCAGTTGTAGGGACCCGCACCACAAAAGTTATGACCTGTGCTGCAAAGGTGGTGTGAGGAAAGTGCAGTGGCTCAAGATCGAATAGCTTCTTCTCTTCCTCCTTCTCCATTATAAGAGCGGTGAACGCTCGAAAAGATCAACAAAGTTGTGGAGCGGCTTCACACAGGTGAGAGACGCCGGCCTGCTAGGTAGCACTCTCGGCAGGATAAGCACAGCTCATGCCTTTTCGGGCTCCTCACATTCCCACTTTAAGTTCGTAACATCGTGAGGCGCCTTTTCTAGTCGCCAAGTTTAGCTTCTAAAACCATTTCCAGAATGCTAGCCCCTTTGTCTAATTTGCACCTTTCCCATCATTTGACAACTTCGTCAACTTTCCACAAATTTCAACAGTGCCCTATATTAACCAATCATACATCTTTGCATCAATCAGGCGCCAGTAAACTCAACTTCGGCATTACGAGCCGAATGACATTCAAGCGGGTCTAGGCAGCTGAAGTCGACACGATAACTCCAAGGCGCCCGAACGCGAAGTGAGGTCGGAGTGATAATATCGACTTCTTTGCACTTGGTTTTCTGGCTGCGTAAGTTAATCGATTATTTGAAGTCCTTTATGAAGTGATGAAACCGGCGGTTTCCTGGGTAAACAGCACTCGTAACGAGGCGGCCAGAGAATCGGATTGCTTACATCTGGACCAGGCACGTGGACAAGCCAAGAGCGAGAAGGCGAGTAGTAATTATAGAAGAATGGCAAAATAAGCCTCGAGCCACATTGCAGAATCCAAAAAAGGGTGATGATAACGACGTGAAGGCATATGGAACTCACCAGAGGACAGCGAAAGAAATCGGCAGTTAAACAAAGGTCATTTTCGACAAAAGTCAGGGGCAGAAGTTGGACTGTGCACAAGATCACGTCAATGGGTAGATATGCTTAACTTATACGGGGCTCGTCGGCATGTNAAACAACTTTCATCTCATTGTTTCAACCTGCTTTCACTTTGGAGCATCGCATGAAATTCTTACTCAGACGACGTTGAAACTTTGGCTGACAAGGGTGCCACAGCTGATGCATTTTGAGTAATGGTGAGGGAAATAAGTTGGAAACTGCACCGCCACAATTCCTACTGCCTACCTGGAGCATGGATGGTCGCAGACGTTGATAGACTGCTCATACCGATGCTTGGGAAGGAAACAGCAACAAGTTTCTACGCCGACACGATGTGATCTGCACGTGCGAAGGTGGAGAAAGATAAAGACCCTGTCTGTCTATTCTCTACGCTTACTGGGCGGGTTTAGCGGAAATTCTCCTCTCAGCAAGTTTAGTGGTACAACGTGATGATTTGCTGACGCAGGAATTCACTTCATCAGTCCAGAAGCCCCATTTTGTCAAGAGAACTGGACGATTAAATAGGCGCGGTAGGGACTGACCGTGTGGGTCCACGACGTTAGACGACGACATTCTATGAGGCTGTAAATATTTCGTAAAGTCGGAAGCCAGTATAACCCTGTCCAATACTTGTTGCTAAGATTATGTTAAAAGTGGCTCCCAGACGGTGGAACCGATCTTTATGGAATACACGCCCAGCACAGTTATCAAGACTTAGGTTGCGACTCACTATGTTTTCAAAAGCATTCGAAAAATACCGCAAAATTCAGCGATGGATAAACAAGGAAGTCTGTCACAAAGCGTAATTGATTTGAAGGATGCCATGCTATGGCTGCTTGTCTGTGATAAGGCAAATGGTAATTTCCCTAATCAGGAATTCCGAACTGCCTAACACTGTTCCACAGCAATATATGGTTTGACTTCTATTTGCCACGGAATCAAAAGTCCGATATCGACTGAATCTCCCAATACGGTAAGTTGGCAAGCTAATGGCATTGTCAAAAGATGATGTAAATGAGTCAGTTACGGTGGCTGATGAATCGTGTTTCCGAGTCCTGACTGGTAAAAGCAAAAAACGCGCGAAAACGAAGGGCGGCAGCCCTGCATTGCGTGAACATCAAAACACCACTGAATTGCCGTCAAGAAAGCAAACTGACTGAGCGGGACGTCCCCACAGCGCCGAAAAAAGTCGTTCTCGGCGACGGAGCATCAATCAGTAAAGGTCCGTTTTGATCGCCTACTGATACTTCCTTCCAGTTACACAATCCAAACCTAGTTAGTTTAATTTTGAAGCAAAGAACTTCGGCAGATTTAATGAAAAATGCGAGAAGAAGAACTAGTGTCTCAACGTTGGTCTCTTTGGGGATTCGGCGAATAGTTATTCTACAAACGGCGCGCAGTCTATGTAGATAGCGATACTTAACAGAACATGCCTCTGTGCTAAAGAACCCCTATGAGTGACACCTCCTCCGTCAAAGAAATCAAATGAGGCTGGAAGGTGCGCAAACAAGTGAGAGTGGTGAGAGTGAGTTACAGCCTTTTCCTTCGTGAGAACGGGCCACACTCTACCCGTGTCTGAAAATGGCTGCTCCAGCCTCTGCAGTCTGCGTACACGCATACCTTCCCTTGCTGACTGTCGTTTTCCGGCCCTCGATGAAGACATGGTGCACTCTCCAACCGTGTTGACTGCGCTGGGGTCAGGTCAGATGAGTGACCATATTTGCCGCCTGGATGAAATTGCGGCACAAGACCCTCACAACTTGCCAGGAGGCCCGCCATGTACGCTAATAGAAAAGGCCGCAGAAGGGAGCGAAGTGTGAAACGAAACGGAGAAAATGGCGTTCCTGTTAGCATCCAAAGTCAACACTGTGCCTCCAATGATTAGGTGAAGAGTCCTTAATCTGTCTCAACACCAGCGACGGCTGAAGACAGGTCAGAACAGATGATCAGCGAGGCTGACTGGATCTGACGGCCACACACGCGAGCGGACGAGTGATAACAAGACAGGGGAGAGGGGGGGGGGCACAAGAACAAACACGCGCGTCACCGTGATGGTTCAGCAGTGAACAGCCCGCACGCACGCGCACGCACAGACGCAGGCCAGTAAACAGTCACACGGAAGCGCACGCGCGAACACAGCCAAATAGACATCAAATTATTAGCCATTATACCCGGCCAGGTGACAATGGACGTTAGATATGGACAGTGATAGACGAGCTGAGATGAGTGCAGGGGAGAAAAAAGGCCTCCTTCGAGTAATTTTACGTTATTTCGAGAGGGAGAAAGGGTGCCGTTCTACTGGACTAAGCGGTAATTCGTCTTCGAGGATTGGCAGTGATGTGAGGACAGATGAAAACATCCTCATCTTGGGACCCGTAGAGCCTGATGAAATAACGACCAACAATAAAAATGGCCGACTTCTGCCTTCGCCAATCCCAACCATTTTAAGGGCAATATGCTTTCCAGAAACTGCGTGAAATAAAAGGTTGACAGGCCAGGTGTTGGGCGGGGACTGTGATACTGTACGCAGCCTTACCTCTGGTGAGTCATACAGGGGAGTTATGCAAGCCCAGGCATCCAGGGTTGAGATGGAATAGGTTGGATGAGTATTGGAGGGAGCGGACTGCATCACTCCCACTGACTTTGATAGAAGTCCGCTTCTAACAACGGTCCCCGTCACCTTCTAAAGTACCCTGGGCTATCTCGTCGAGGGTGCCACTGACTTGGGCTTTCTTTGCATTCTTGAACGAGGCGTGCTCTATGGCATTACTGTCACCCTTGAAGTTATGAAATTGATCCTCTCGATGCGCTTTGCCTTCGGCAGTTTCAACCAGAGTCCGGCCACCCAAAAAACCGTTAACCTGTGGCTCGTAGGACACCGGCTGTCCGAGGCGGCTTGGTGGAGGGGCGGCTCTACGTAATACCTGGATTCTACTGTCGTCTCCATCCATCCTTCAAACATTGCCAGGTTAAGGTTCCAGGATTGTGCCCTACTGGATGGTAGGCAACATCCGTGAGGTACTGCTGTGCCATGTTAGCCTTTTGTAAGTAAATGGCTCTTTACACCTGAAGACAGTATCTCTATACTGTCCACAACTGCTTACTTAATAGGTGAATTTTGCCAAAGGCTGGTCTGCTATTTGGTATCTGTGGACGGATGCACCGAGTAGCCGGCCTCAAAGGGACAAAAGATGACGGATAAATGCAAAAAATATAAATTTACAGCTTTTTCCCATAAAATGAACTTTAAGTCGACAATGCCGGAGGGAAAACATATTCTTTTTCTGGCTTTGATGGAGACTGAGTGGATTAAATTGAGGATTCAGCTTCAATAAAGACCAATCGAAGACGATAAGCATTTCCCAGGCCGAACATTTTAGGAATGCCTACGCTTGACTGTTAATAAGGGAACTGAACGAAGATGAAACGTTTTTACGTAGATATAGACCCTAAGTAAGATAAGCAGACAAAGGCAGTACAAAGAAAATGAATGCAATAAACTTGCCGTGTTCTGGAGTAGTGATTGCTGGCGATAAGAGGAATTGGAGGTCGAGTAAGAACCTGAATACCCACTGGCAGAGCAACCACCGGCGCCAACACCATAGACAGAGGTGTCTCTGAAATCCCCATTGACAGCGAAAGAGTCCATACTGTCACCGGCTTGTTTCTTGATGCAGGAAGCAGTGGCATAGCGCCCTGCATAAAGACCGGGATTCAGACGGATTGCTGAATTGTTGAGGCGCGTTAGAACATTTGGCCGCCCAGTATTGCCGCCATGAACACCAACACTCTCACCAACACCATTGGAAGCGTACTGAGGAGCTTCGATACCCCGAGTAACGGGATCCCCAGTATCTGTGTCGGAGCTGCTCTGCGATCCTGAGGACGTTGGGGGACATATTTGAGGGGGTTGACCACTTTTTTGCAAGAACGGCTTTGTTCGAATAAAATCTCCTAATAAGAGTAAAGTAGTCAGGTCATATTCGAGGTGGACCACACAAATTTGGAATGTTGAGCAAAAAGGGCTAACCGGCATGTGACCTTTAGATTGTAGACAAAATGATACGTTGAGAAGCTGCCTCAGGAACCATTTAAAATGCACACAAACTTCCATCCTCCGTGGCATCAGTGTCATGCATCACAGCAATTAAGAGTAATTTCGCCCATGTTGGCAAATCGTTGATCCTGAGACCGTTTGTCCAGGTTTTGTGACGGGAGTACTTTTCCTAGCCAACGTGAATCTGCTACTGCCGTCGGGGATAGCGATAGGCAGGCGTGGCTGTAGACATCTACCGACGGCTTTGCAGGGACTGTTGCCGCCGCGGCGACGGACGGCGGAGAACACAGGAGTCAGCTAAGCGCTAGAGCGGCCAATATCCTTCTAAATACTGGGGTGTAGAAACACTACCACCGATAACTGGGAAAGATTGCATGACTTCTGAACGTAAGGACAATAAACACAGCCCCCAGGGTCACTGATTTTTCTGACCTATGACTAGAAAAGCGCATTTTTGCTTTTTTGGCCGCCAGTGTGCGGTCGTCCCCACTGCGAAGAGCTCCGTTTGCTAGGTCCAGTCAGCTGTATGAGGAAGGAAGACAGTTGGGCAATCAAATGATCAGGGTAGGCAAAGGACTGCCCAACTAATGAGGTGGAAGGCCACAGGGGACTAGAGTTGTAAACTGTTGAGTGCCAGTTACCAGAGCTTCCGCACTGGTCCACTGTAATTCTCCATTTAACCTTCTCTTCATCTTAACCCCTTCACCTAACCCCTTTACCAGCTCTCACTGATTTGTGTTCATCAATGATGGTATAAATCGCAGGATAGTCAAACGACTTTTGAGGGTGACTCTTACGACTAGGCTACAATTGATAGTCGAAGTCAACAAGAAAACTGATTAGGTTAACATCGTAACCAACTCAAGGTTCACTAAGTAAAGGCAAACAAACTAATTCAAAAAGGGGCAATTATTTTTCCAAAGTCAAAGCACACGCGACAGTTCGATCGTCGCCAGCGACGACGTCTGCCACTGTCCCACAGCATGGGTCCAGCATCGGCCACTTGCGCCGCACCTACCCAACTCTCCCCCCCCTTGCCACCTTGCTCCAACGACAAAAGAGCATCAAGAAGACCGGTGGTGGACGCGGAAGTAGTGACTGACAGATCTTAACAGCCCGTCCACGCGCGTCACACGCGAACATGTCTCCGCTCCATATGTACCGGGTTACTATAAGGAAGGTCAAAAACCCACATAGGTTAGAATGTCGTGAAAACCACGTAATGCATTCATTGCAGCCTGACTCTCAATCCTGAGAAGGGTTGAGCTATCCTGTCAGTTGACGGCCTTCCAAGCCACGACCGACAGCGCGCCGCGACAGACTCAAGTGAGTGTCTGATCCATTGTATTGAGGAATACGTTGGGTTGCGATGGGGACAGATTTTCCAGTTCCAGCCTCATTTTCTTCCTTCCTCTCCCAAATGCCAATTGCCTGTTCGTGTCAAGCTGAATGATTACGAAATTGGGCGCAGCGGCTGACAGAGTTAAACAACTCGTCTACGCTTGCCAAATCAGGTCGCACTAAGGGACACGCTTCCGCCTAAGTGAGATGTGCGTGTTCTGACGTGCAACATTTCACCCGCAACACCGGCGTATGAGTGATGTATTGCGTGCTGTGCGGATGGGTCCCGTACACAAGGACTATCGAACAAGTTCGTTTGCGGTCTCGGGGGTGTTTTTGTGCGCAGGTANCATCCGTGTATAACTTTTCGTCAATGGAATTAAAAACTTCCGTAACCCAGGGTTGTTCTAGCTCCAACTCGCACTTAACATTGTAAGCAACAAGAAAACGAACGTACCAATTCTTCTTCGTCTATCTCCGGAAAAATATCACATAATCTAAGGTCGTCCATTCTAGACGACAAAATTCGACCCCACCGGGTAATGTAAAAGCACAAAGCGAGATTTGTGTGAAGAATTCAAACACCAGAATCGTGACTTAATTTGTACGTGTATTGCTTATAAGCAATACATGTTCATCGGTCCGCGAACTCACAAATGATTCTCCGTAGACACGCAAAAGACTGAATGTCTGAAATAATTCAAGTTATTCACTAAGGGACCTAGTCGTGATGGGAGGAAAAAAGACTTGCCCTACATTGAGTCAGCTTGTGCAGTTATAGCAGACAGCAAAAGGCAGTTGCAGCTGATTTCTGTAGCTGACCACAGTACTTCTCTTGACCGATACAAGAAAGACATGGAAGGACATATGTTATTACCATGCTAGCGGGAGACGGATGCATCTTAACACTGTTGCAATTAATATCATTCTAGACCTGCCAGGACACGTCCGAGATGGGACTAGGCGAGGCACTACTTCTTCTATTTTTAAGCGGTATTCATAAATATAACAGAAAGAAATTTAAACGTTCATAAGTGCATTTTACCACGCATTTTACTATTCAAACTGAAATATACATCACTTTTCTCATAAAAATGCCCTCGAGGCCTATTTGAATGGGTTATAAGATGTGCTTTTTCAGGTGAGTCACTTCGAAGGCATTTGTCTGCTGGAAATGTTGTACGTCGGTGCGTGTTTTGGTATTGTCCGCAAGTCTAAACGCTCATGATACTGTATGCCTTTTCAATGTCTTATTGATGATTATGTGTTAATTTATATTATCACTGGTTACATTTAAGCTGCCCGAGTTGCTGTAGTGTCCGATAGCCGAATGACACCTCTTCTAGGAGACCGCGTATCGAAAGTGTATCTGTACCCACTGCATATCGTATTTTATATCTATGAGAAGTGAATACGAAGTGCGCTTACTGCGAATTCCACTGCAACACCATTTAAAAACAGTCAAGCATGGCATAGGGGCATATTGGGCTGCAACTAAAGAACCTGATCCTCCGATCCCTTCAACCGTGTCGACGGTGGCAGACCAGTCACTGGGACTGTAATTTCATGGATTGGGCGCAGAAGTTTCTATGGTTGGGTTTTTCGCCATCAAAGTGATTGATGAATGCATAGTTCACAGAAAACATGGGAAGCCACAATATATTCAGAAACAAATGTCACATGAAGGATTTGCAAGAATTCTGCTTGGAGGCCGCTTGCCAAATCAAAGACATTATTTAGAGTTTTGCAGCCCTACTATCCGGAGAACCCAGGGACTCAAAATAATATTGTAGGCGTATGAACCTGCGTTAGCAAGCTCGGGATGGACAGAGGCTTATTTCCTTTTGGACAGTGTAGTGGTTTACTTAGTCTTCTGCACTCTAGGCCTGCAGCGACAATTCCCGAAATGCGCGTTTAACTGTATCTTCATTGACTGGATCCTTTTGAACGCTCTGGTCAATACTGGTGGCCACTACTTGGTCGTAATAGGCCCGCAGTTGTTGCCCAGTCCTCCGTTTTTCGATCACCGACATTATATGTGACTGTTTATTCAACAAGCGAAATTGAATAATGTGCAGAAACTGCCCAATTACTCTAAAATTTACTTTGAAACTTATATGTACTTGCTATGACGGGATCTCCCAGGGTCTTTTAGTAAAGTCATTTTTTATGTTGTCCGGTTTTGACAAGCACGATCCCGTAGACAATTCCCTGTGTGATTTTGTTACCTCTGATATCTGAAAGATCATAATGGCTACGATGGTTACGACAAATATGATAGTTTGTAGAGATAACAACAATTACTGCTGGTGTTGTTATGCGGAGATCCCCATTGCAAACCGCATGACATACGCAGTTTACAATGGGCGCCAACTGTACGACAGTCCATTTCGATTGCTAAGTCTGCGGCTGCACCATAAGGACAGACCGCCGTTCGGCGACAAATTCACCGATACTTTTGCCTCCTACCCAATAGACTACCTGCACTTCTTCTGACCGGGCGTCATGAAAGAATTGCTGCATTTGTGTTGACCGACAACAAATACATTTTCCATCCTAGTGAATGCCTCTACTAGGAAATCCGGTGAATATTTACGCGCACAATTCCCACTTAAGTGCAGATCGCTTGACCCTCAGGAATTTGGGATGGCTGCCGAACATCAGCACTTCCTGCGGCACTTCCTATAGTTTTAGCTTAATTTCTTGAGAATATCCGTTGCAACCATTTTTGCAAATACCGGCTGCTCTTTATATTTTTGCCACTCATTTTTTACATATCTCGCCTAGATTTCGCTCACCTTCTGTTGAATATTTATGTTTCCGTTTTCCCCTTTGTTTATAATACTGCCGATGCAGGTTGCAATATCTACTGTCTCCTTCACCTATACGACTACATCAGCCGTTTAACAGTTTTGAACAGTTTTTCTACATTTTCTTTTGAGTCTTTTTCGTAACAGCGCAAAAGGGCCAAATAACGCACAGGTGTTCTTCTGAAAGACACCTGTCTGTGTCAGCAATATATCCTGTGCCATAGGACGGAGGTCAGTGAGTTCTACAGTCTTCTCAGTTGTCCGAGTATTTACAGCCACTATCAAAAGTGGTGCGCTCTTCCTACTGAACCATTCGATAATCCGGTATATATCGACGATAGGCCATGCGTACTGACATCTCTNTTTAAGAGTTTTGACTCAAATTGTGCCCGTTCCCTCCTCAACAGATTCCGACATACATTCCTCTGTTTTTTGAAGTCAGCGAAATGTTCTGGTTGCTGAAAACTGGCGTACTTTTTCCAAGGTCTCTTTTTCAATCTAAGGTTCTTCTTTATTTCTGACGTCACCCACTCTGGTCGGGATGTGCGCAGCATCCTCTTAACTGGGCAATAGCTCTCTACCAAGTGTTGCATTATGTTCTTGAAGAAGAGCCAATAGCTTTCTGTGTCAGGTCCTTGTGCTGCATTCCAATTCACCTTCTGCAGCAGGTTTTTCTTTCGGGTATAATCCCCTTTCCATACATTTCTTTCCTCAGCAGCTTGAATTTGGGGTACAGAAAAATGACTATACTCCCAAACAAGAACGCAGTGGTCACTTCGGCCAAGGGGCGTGTGCGATTCCAATCCGAGAATGCAACTATCATCCCTAGTGACGATGAGGTCCAAACAACTGGACTGCTGTCCATCTCTGAATCGATTGTCCACTTTAACATGTTGGGTAAGGAAGCCATTTGTGATCAGTTGCATAAATTTCTGTTCGAATGAGTTTTCTGATCGCGTGCAATGCATCAAATCCGTAAACGGTTAGTAGAGTGGCTAGGAGGTCAAGATCAAAATTGAACTGGCGCTGTAGGACACCAATACCCGGCAAAACACATTTAAATATAGATTCTGGATCCGGCCACGTGACTGTATTAAATAACAATATAAATTCCACTACGGCACTCCGGAACGGTCAACCAGTAGTACAAAAGTACCTGCCAGGCAGCACATACAAAATCTAACATGGCTGCGCCAATCTCTGAAGGGACCCAAGGGAACTCAAATAGTTTAGTGTTCCCGACTAAAAAGCTTTATTTATTACAACGCCGCAGACGAAAAGCCCAAAACATATAGACCGAAGAACAATGGATAATCCGGACTTTCGCCAGAAGAACCTACCGATATGAATAATCCTTTATAATAGCACCTCAGTTTCTCAAACTCCTTCTCTATGACATTTCACTGAACCAAAGCTCTGTAACCTTCCAACCGTAGCCCCTAATGACAACCCAATCAATTGCCTAGGTCTACGCACTTTTTCAACTGCAACCCGACACAGATAAAATTTTCACCTGGTTAATTCACCTTTACGACTGAAACCTAGCCCGTACACCCAAATTGCAGCATTACGCATCACCATACTTCCCAACAACCCTAAAACTGCCTCCCTTTAGCCCATCGCACAATCAAAATGCTCGCAAAAACCACTTTTTTACTACAGCTTACTTCTTCCATACCCAAAATCCTAAGTATCACTCTTATTGGGTCGAGATCGATATCCCATAAAATATTCCAACTTAGGACTTCTGTTGGGATCTATAACCCAGATATAATTTGTCTTACTGAGACATAAGTAAATGAATTAATATCAAGTGCTTCGCCATATGCCCCAAATTATAATTTTACCTATAAGACCGCGTAAATAAACGAGGCGGGAATCGTCTGATCTGCATCAAAACGATCATTGAACAAAGTAGTCTTGGTGATCAAACAAAACGTTCTCTGAAAAGGCGTGTTATGTTATAATGCACTCTCAGATCTACGAAAGCCTACTAATCGGCTGTCTTCATTTCCCTCCGGAAAGTAAACTTCATAACACAAGCCCAAACAGTTTACTAGACAATATATTAGATCTCCATACTGTTCATGTCGTTCTTTCAACTTCTTCTATTACGATGCCTTGGAATTTGTTTTTAACTTAAAAAACCCCCACCTCGCGCAGCATTGACTAAACAGGCGCTCATAACCGCGTCTTTTCAAATCAGCTTCGGACTCCAAGTTCTTCGAGCTTACGATGTTTAAGTCTCCACCGTAGTGTGGTAGACGTGTTAGTTCGAAAGAATTCACAAGTGGATTGCATATTCTCCGAATTTTATATATACTTGAAAGTGGCGATTCTGTAGCCTTCGAAATGTTTTTGTATTGCGGATTCCACCATTCCAGGTACAAACTTCGACGCTTAATCAGTTTCACAAGTCACGCCCCAGTGTGCTTTTTGAATCGGTTTTCAGCAGCGGAAAGTGACGTTATGGCAAGGGCTGGATCTTTATATGTTACTTTCAAGTCTGACTGTCAATCATTATTGTCGTTCAATCCGTTCATTTAAGAAGATCCATAAATTAAACACAGACCCTTAGAATTCAAAAGGGTATATAAGGCAAGAACGCTTATGCCCCGTCTACTCAAGACAAAAGTCCAGCGTTATCAGTGGGATTCAAACCCCTGATCTACCGGCAGGGGGCTAACGCTCCACACCACTC